CAGTCGTTCTGCCCCTACACTCTGAAACTCCTTTCTGGAGTCTCTTTGCTCACCCCTCCCTCTCCATTATTAAAGCCAGCCTCTTTGACTGCATTTTTGGTTATCTCCTCTTCCCATCCCCCCAACTCAGTCACCAGGTCAACACTGTGATGCTCCAACATTTTCCTCAAATTCCTCCTTGTTGAGTCCTGTAGCTCAGTGGTTAGAGCACTCGCTTTGCAAGCGAGAGACCTGAGTTCAATTCCAGGCAGAGGGCGAAACCTTGGGCAAGTTTCCTTACTCCACACAGAGCCTAATAATAATCCCTCCAAAAACCAAAAAAAACAATAATAAAATTGATCATTTTCAATCCACGACTGTTTGTGGGACATTGCTGTGCGCAATTGGCTGCCGCGTTCACCCACAAATATACAGTCAATTCACTTTACAGTGTGTTCTGTGAAGCGCTTTGGGACGTCCTCCCGACGTGAAAAGCGCTATATCAAATGCAAGGATTATTATTATTATTATTGTTTATTGTCCTCCCAACCCTCTCCCATCTTCCTCTCAGACATCTCCTCCCTTCTGTTTTCCCTCTTTCTCTGCTCCGAACACCACCTCATCCTAGGCGACTTCAACCTGCACTTCTCCCCCTCCTGCTCTATCTCCGCTGAATTCTCCTGTCTCCTCTCCTCTCACAACCTCTCCCTCCAATCCACTCCGCCCCCTATTTCCATGGCCGCCTGCTTGACCTGGTGATTACCTGGGGCCTCAGTGTCTCGGGCCTCACCATCATCGACAAAGCCATCTCAGACCATTACTTCACCTCCCTTAATTCCTCAAACCCTCACCTCACCGCCACCCAACCCACCTCCACCTCCTACCACCCCTGGAAAAAAAATCTCCCTCTCCATTGCCCTGGAGTTATCTGAACTCCTTCCCCTCTGGGCTTCTTCCCGCAATGACCTATCCTCAGACACTCTTCTCCACAACTCCCTCTCCACCACTCTCGATACCTTTGCTCTCCTCACTTGCCGAACCGACTCCTACTCACGGAAGTCAACCTGGTACACCAGCCACCTCTGTTCCCACAACACACCCGGCTCAAATCTAACTTAACAATCCATTGGCAGATCTGGCTGGACCTTATCAAAACGTAGCGCTCTGCCCGCGCCTCCACTAAATCGTCGTTCTATTCCAAGACAATCTTGGAGACCTATAGCAACCCTAGACTCCTCTTCTCCATCACCAACTGGCTCCTCTGCCCACCCTCTCACACCTCTCCCGTCCTCTCCTCCAACACCAACTGCGAGGAGATGCTAGACTTTCTCGAAACCAAAGTCAAGGGAATCCACTCAGGTGCCTCTGCTCTTCCGTCTACTAATCCCTCCCCATCTCCTCCTCACACACTGGCCCCTATCCATCCCTCCCTTCATATCTTTGAACCTGTCTCTGCCTCCTCTCTCACCACCACTATAACCCACATGAAACTGACCACTTGCTCCCTCTACCCCATCACTACCCCTCTCCTTACCTCACAGCTCCACCTCCATGCCCCCATATTCTCAGACATCATAAACCTCTCCCTGTCCACTGAGACTGTTCCCACCCTTTTAAAAATGGCCGCATCTCCAACCTCCCTTTCCTCTCCAAGGACCTGGATCGAGCTGTTGCTTCCCAGCTTCACTCCTTCCTTTTCCGCCACTCCCTTCACAACCCCTGCAATTGGATTTCCATGTCACCCACAGCACAGAAACAGCTTTGGTCAAAGTGACAAATGACATTTTGTCCATCTGCGACTAAGGCTCCCTCTGTCTCCTCGTCCTCCTTGACCTCTCTGGTGCCTTTGATACCGTTGAGCACCCTATCCTCTTCCACAGCCTCTCACCTCAACCTTCATGGTTCTGTTCTTGGTTCAGAGATCCTACCTTTCACACCATCTCCACAAAGAGCTTCTCCTCTAGCCCCCACACTGTCTCGTGCGGTGTTCCTCAGGGCTCTGTCCTTGGTCCCCTCCTCTTCAATATCTACATGCTCCCTTTGGTGACATCATCCACAGACATAGGGTCAACTTCCACATGTATGCGGATGACACCCAACTCTACCTCTCTGCCTCCACCCTCAACTCCAGGACCACTGCTGTCCTGACAGAATGTCTGTCAGACATCAAGTCCTGGATGAGAGCTAAGTTTTTACAGCTTAATGTCAACAAGATTGAGGCCTTCTAGATTGGCTCCCATCCACGCCACCACACCTCATGCACTGACAGCATCACCATCCATGGTTGCACACTCCACCTTGCTAAGCCAGTCTGGAACCTTGGCGTCTTTTTTGATCCTCAATTGTCCTTTCTACCCCACATCCGTGCCATGACCCGCTCTGCCTTCCCCCACCTCTGCAACGTCATGCCGGCTCAACAACAACAACTTTCACTTATATAGCGCCCTCCCCGCAGGGTAGCATCTCAGAGCATTTTCTCGTCCCCTTTACTTTCCCTCTGCCACTTCTCATGCCGCAGGCTGCCGAGACCCTCATACACACATTCAGGCTAGACTTACCGAACTCCCTGCTTATCGGCCTCCCCGACTCCTACCTCCATAGGCTGCAGATCATCCAGAGCTCTGCAGCCCTTGTCGTCTCCCACACCAGGCTCCGGCATATTCTATGAAGCGCTTTGAGATGTCAAGAAGACGTGAAAAGCTCTATATCAAATGCAAGAATTTTTATTATATTATTATTATATTACTGACTGAGGCTGGATTGAATCCAAGGTCATGAAGATAAGTCCATCGTTATTAAGGTTGGTAACAGGTGTTTGCCTCTAATGTCAACCAAATTTGAATCAGAATTCCATTTCTGTAAGTGCCTGCTATCGTGCATATTTATGCACACAATGTGTTTGAGTGTAATAATGTTTTGATAGAGGAGTGTTCATCATCCAGCTAAGTAACCAAGAGGATTGAATGTGACAGCAAGATTGGTACATAACATTATATTTTAAACCTGGATGTAATGTTTTTTCTGCAATTCCTTTGGTAAGTTGCAATCTGTTGTAAAATTCTCTCCCTTTGATTTTGAATGGGGAAGAATTTTGTCTGATCATTATTTGCAACTTCAAATAATATATTGGTGCCTTTACATGTCACCTGTATAACATGTCATGAAAACATGTTTTTCAGGGTTTTCGAGGTTTTCCTGGGATCCAAGGAATACAAGGACTCAAGGTACATGTATTTTCTTTCGACTCCCTTGTGTGTGATTTGTGATGCCCATAGATTATTCACATCTGTGAAGACAGAAATAATAGTTTACTTTAGATTTTGTTTTTCTTTTTTAAAATTTAGTGTGTCGGATCCTTTTCTAATTTTCTCACAATTCACAAATGCCTCTGCTCTGAGTCCAGTCTCCTCTTGCTGGGCTGTGCATGAACGGACTCTGGTTCCCCTCCGATTCTCCACCAAATAGCCATTGCTCACATGCGAGCTTTGACACAAAGCTTGTAGATGACATCATTGCCCAGGATACCTCTCCTCATCACTGCTGCACATGTGTACAACCAACAGGTGCTAAAGAGGCAACAGGACCAGTAAACCTGACTTATTTTAATCTCCCTAATGCAAGGCAGGCCAGAGCTAATTTAGTTCCCCATGCTGACCCTACTGAGATCTGCTTTACTTTAAGGTAATGAAACAACCGAAATCTACCAGTTATTAGCCAAGAACTTCTAGTTCATACAAGGATTAACAATTGATTGATTTGCCTTCTAGCCTAACACTTTTAACAGTGCTCTGCCTTTCAGTGTTATTCCATCTTCTTATCATAATTTGCCCTATTAACACCCTCAGCAAACAATATTTTATTCTGCTCTTTTGGTGGTCCAAGGATCACCCTGAGAACATTCCAGGGACCATTTCCTGATGTTGTTGAAAAGCTGGTTATGTAATAATCGCTTTAATGATATTAAATGCAACAGAGTTTTACGCATATGCAAGTAAACCCTTGGCCAATGCAAATAGAAGCAGGAAATATAAATCCAACTTACAGTAAAGAAGCTCCCAGTTGCTTTGCAGCTGAAAGTAATATGACTACTTCCAGCAGCACAATTATGGTATTATTTATGGCCATACCTCATGGAGATAACAGGTTTCTGGCAATTTATAATTTCCACCAGAAATTAGTCAACACTCGAAATTCCTGGACTGTTGAAAATTGAGAATCAGTTTCTTCAATCAGCCTTTTTGAAAATAGTCCTTTCATTATGGCTCATTTTTTGGATGAAGGAATGTCTTGTGGTTTAATACATTTTTATTCTTTCTGTGAGTGTTGTCAGAACATCTTCCCTTATGATTTTGAATTTCTATAATTCATTACATCAGAACAGACAGATTATGTAAAGCTTTCATCAAAGCTACATCAGATATATCATCTGCTACAGATATTTTAGATTCAATAACAACAAAATTACACTTGTATAGCGCTTTTCACGTCGGGTGGACATCCCAAGCCTTAAAGCACCAATATTTTGTTAAAGAATAAGGATATATAGTCTGTAATATATATTGTTGGTTCAATCCATTTCAAATGTTTGAAGACTATTTTTAAAACCTTTCTATGTAAAAATGTAAAACTCTCCCACATACAATCATTCTTTCCCGTTATGTGCACGGAAGTCAGAGACACATCATTTGAAATGTATCCTCCAATTTGCTGAAACAAATTTGAAAGTCTTAGTTTTTCTTCCAATCAGAAAAGTTTTTTCTTTTAAAGTATGAACTAATCACCTCGGAAAAGCAATGGATCGGAAACTTTCTGATGCACTTAAAGGAAGTGGGCACTGCAGAACACGATAACATAATTCACCATCGTCTTAAATAGGTGGTTTTAACAAGATATGGGATTCCATTAACAGCATACAGACAATTACATAGAACAGCTGTAAAGCACTGAAAAGTGAATGTTTTAACTTCTTAAGGAAAACTGATACAATTACATTGTTGGCAAATGTAATGATTTCTTTCCAGGGTAAACCAGGAATGATGGCTCCTAAGGGGGCCAGGGGGCCACCTGGGATACCAGTGAGTAATAGCTTTTTTCTATTTTTTGCTACAGTTAAAGATTGTGTGGTCCTGCTTTTAAATCCACATGCACCACACATTATTTCCAGACCAAAAAGGAGATAAGCAGTTTGGCAAGCAGGCCTTTGGCATCTCCTTTTTCGCAATGCGCAAGAGAATCTGAGCTTCTTTGATATCTTACTTTGGTGACATGAGCAGAAGCCCATGATGTGGAAAATTTGAGGGAAAACCGTCATTCTGCATTTCTCAAAAATATATTGAAATAATGTATAACCAATTCTGTATCATTCAACAATATGGTAGCACACCAACAACCTACACCATCATGCCACAGATTGATGAGCAAATAATGAATCTGACTAGTAGATAATCGCTGATGAGAAGGACAAGAAGAGAAATAGTGTTCCACAAAACAGGGATCGGTTATTAAGGACAGGATCCAACTATCTGAACACAACATTACAGTGTGAAAATAACTTTGCCTGTTCAGTGAGGCAGTACTACTTTGCCAGTATGACTTGTAGATGGAAATCTCTGAGTATTGCATTGCCATGAAGGTAACTGGCAGGTCTCTGGCTGCTGCATTTCACCCACAAAATACAAAGACAATCTACTTCTTTTCGACCGCGCCTTTGGTCACCTTCCCACCCCTCCCCTGGCTCTGTCCCGGGATCCTAAACTGTAAAGCGCTCTGAGAAGCTGTCCGGCGTGGAGGGCGCTATATAAATCCAAGTTGTTGTTGTATATTCTGTAAACTGCTTTGAGACATCTCGACAATGTGATAAGGTGCTATATCAAATGCAAGGATTGTTAGTATTAAGTGCAGCGCGCAGGAAGTGACATTAGTGACATATGGCACACATGCAGAATGTACTGGAAATGGCATTTGTGGGGTTTCTTGAGTATAGCACATACATGTAATTTGCACAAAGTGATATCAGCAGGAACCAGATGATGATTTTTAGTGTTTTTGCCTTTTTTTAGTGTGGGAAGACAACTAATCAGCATCTGTAGGTGGGGGCACCATAGTAGTCCAGTGCATCAACCTCCATGGTTGCATACTTCAACTCACCAAGCCAGTCAGGAATCTCAGTGTCTTGTTCGACCCTCAACTGTCTTTTCTTCCCCACATCCAAGCCATGACCCGCTCTGCCTTCCCTCACCTCCGTAACATCGCCCGACTTCGCCACTACCTCACCCCTCAGGCCGCTGAAACTCTTGTTCATGCCTTCATTACCTCCAGGCTCAACTATGCAAATGCCCTGCTGGTCAGCCTTCCCAACTCCTCCCTCCACAGGCTGCAGATAATCCAGAACTCTGCAGCCCATGTCCTCTCCCGCACCAAACTCCGTGACCCCATCTCCTCCATTCTCGTCCGACTCCATTGGCTCCCTATCCTTCAGAGGATCCAGTTCAAAATCCTGATCCTCACATACAAAGCCCTCAATGGTCTCGCCCCACCCTATCCCTGAGACCTCCTAACCCCTACCAACCCGCCCGCTCCCTCGCTCAGCCAGCTCTGGCCTGCTCCACATTCCCCGACCCACCCGCCCCACCATTGGCGGGAGAGTCTTCAGCCACACTGCCCCCAACCTCTGGAATTCCATCCCCCCAATCACTCCGCCTCGCTCCATCCTTAGCCTCCTTCAAGTCCCGCCTCAAAACCCTCCTTTTTGACCATGTCATCGGTCATCCGCCTTCTACCCTCCATTCTCCCTCCATGACCCCAGCTCAGGTCTTAAATGCTGTACACTGTCCAGCGCCTTGGAACGTCCTCCCGACATGAAAGGCGTTATACAAATGTAATCTTGTTGTTGTTGTTGCTGAGCGAGGCAGTGCTGCATTGAATATGCCACAACAGGGTTATTCCTGTTGTCTGAGTGGTAATTCAACAGCATTGATTTCAAGCCCAATAAATGTACTCATGATTTATTTGACGGGCATTTCCCCTCTTCTCATAAAATGCCCATTTTTTGGAAACTTTTTAGCATATAAAACTGTAATCTTCAGTCTAGTTAGGTAGTCAATGTAGACACTTGCTGGACTGGACCGTAGCATGGACTTCCAGACAGTCAACACATTAGTTTCCCAATTTTAACCTTTTTATTTATTGCCTCCTCACGCAGCCAAATAAAATTTATGAATAAAGGTTTCCAGTCATACCAAGCTCATGTGTTTCATTTTTAGTATAAATATACCATGTGAGGAAAAATATTTGAACAGCTTCTTCATCAGTTGAGCATTTTCAATTGATAGCAGGGACTTTAGCACGGCTCAGACAGCAGCATTTTCACTAAGAAGCCAGAAGATTGTGGGTTAAGACACACATTGGGACTTTGAGTTCATAGTCTAAGCTGACACTCAACTGCAGAGCTGGGGGTGCGCTTTTTATTGTTGGTGGTGCCGTCCTTCAGAAGAGGCATTAAACTGAAGTCATGTTTGCCTATTTAGATGGACTTTAAATGTCTCATGGCACTATTTGGAAATTAAATGGGGAAGGGGAGTTTTCCCTGGGTCCTGTCCACAATCCCCCATGTAAAATTGGTGATTCACTTCATGGCTGTTTGTGGGACATTGATTGTGTGTACGCAATTGGCTGACATATTCACCCACAAATTATACAATTTCAACACTTCACAACAAAATCTTGTGAAACTCTTTGAGACATCTCATTGAATGAAAAGGCAGTATATTAAATGCAGAGATTATTATAATTTGACATTCACTCACAAAGTGAAATTGTGTTGACATTAGCCATAAAATGCTTATGCACTTAGTTAGCCTCAAAGCTGAAATTTTGGACGTTCAAACAATGCATTTTACTTTATTTTTGTTCAAATTGCAGGGATGAATTATTTCAAATTCTACTTTAGTTTTGGTTTGGTAAAATGTAATGTTATTGACATCTTAACATTCTGAGACTTGTTATGATCTCTCCTCGTGTTCAGAGTAAGAAATGTGGGTTACAACCTTTCTTTGATAAGAACATGCATTTTCAGTTTCAGACTACTAGTGTTTTTATTCTTGAATTTCTGCAAAGCATTCACTCCAAAACTTTCGGTGTAAAACTGCCATGTCATTAATACTAACTGGGACCAATGTGGCATGAGGATATTTCAATACAGTATGCCACAGAATGGTACAATGTCAATTCAGACCAGCAGATACCCACACTTGTCTGAGTGTCCATGCTCTTCTCTGTTTTATGATTATCTATGATTCGTTCCTTGCAGGGTAAGCAGGGACCTATGGGACCATCTGGGAATGATGGATGGCCAGGAGAAAAGGTACTATGCAATTCCTTCATATACATTGTCCTTGATTTTCTGAAATTTCATAACCTAAAAGTGTCCAATAATTCATATGTTGATTTGCAATAGTTTGCATAAAAATCGATGATTATGTCTGCTTGGAAATGCATCCTCAAGGCTTAGATGATGGTGCCTTTGTATTGTCATGATTTAGGGGAATGATGGTGCACCAGGAAGGGAAGGACATCCGGGACCTCCAGCTTCAACTGTGAGTATCCCTAACACCCAAGTTTTTATTTAGTCAGCCATTTGTCCAACCCACGTGGAAAGCCATCACCATACTTAAAAGTATTCTGACCAAACTGAGAGTCCAACATATGTATGCATCTACAGGTGGACATTTCCTTCTGTCTGCAATGGAGTATACATTCTCTCCCTGAATGGATGTATTTCACAGCAGTAACTAACCCTTGACAATTGGATTTATCATACAATATTTAACGTGCAGTCCTGCAGCTTAGTGGTTACAGCACTCGCTTCACAAATAAGAAGACCTGGGTTTGATTCCCAGATGGGACGAAACAAAACATTGGGCAAGTTTCCTTACTCTACACACCTCTGTTTACTTAGCAGTAAGCAGGAACCCGGTTGTTAGTCGATTGGAGGATCATTTTTCCAGGGGTAACAATCCCTTAAAAAAAATGTGATCATTCAATCCACGATTATTTGTGGGACACTGTTGTATGCAATTGGCTACTGTGTTTCGCCCACAAAATATACAGTGAATTCACTTTACAGTATATTCTATGAAGCGCTTTGAGACATCTCGAAGACGTAATAAGGCGCTATATTAAATGCGAGGATAGACAGAATGGTAAAATGGGCAGACATATAGCAGATGAATTTCAATGTGGAGAAATGCGAGGTAATGCATATTGGAAGAAAGAATGAGGGGAGGCAATATAGGCTGGTAATATAATCTTAAGGGGGTGAAGGAACAGAGAGACCTGGGGGCTCAGGTAAAAGAATCCTTGAAGGTGGCAAGATAGGAACATAAAGCTGTAAAAAGGGCATATGGGATACTAGGCTTTATAAATAGGGGCATAGAGTACAAGAGTCAGGAGGTTATGATTAACCTATATAAAACACTGGTTAGGCCTCAGTTAGAATACTGCGCCCAGTTCTGGGCACCACACTATAGGAAGGATGTTAAGACATTGGAAAGGGTGCAGAGGAGATTTACAAGAATGGTACCAGGAATGGGGGACCTTGATTATGAGGAAAGGCTGGAGAGGCTGAGATTATTCTCATTGGAGCAGAGAAGGTTACAAGGAGTCCTAATAGAGGTCTTCAAAATCATGAGGGGATTTGATAGGTTAGAAAGGGAAAAACTGTTTCCACTGGTGGGTGTGTCGGTGACTTGAGGTCACAGATTTAGAATAGTTTCTAAAGAAGCAGAGGGGAGGTGGAAATAATTTTTTTCGCGCAGCAAGTTGTTCGAATCTGGAACGCATTGCCTGAAAGGATGGTCGAGGCCGATTCGATGACAAGTTTTAAAAATGTAGTGGATTGGTAGTTGAGGAGGACGGGTTTGCAGGGTTATGGGGAAAGGGCTGGGGAGTGGGATTGACATTACATTGCTCTTTTCAAAGAGCCGGCACAGACTCGATGGGCGAATGGCCTCTTTTTGTGCTATATGATTCTATGATTATTATTATTATATACCCTTTATTTAATTCCAGACGATATTGGGTGAATGTTGTCAAGAGCCAAGGTTTGAGGACCTCAGAGTGTGTATCTGGGGTATTGCTGGAGTTTAAACAGCTAAAACTTCTTAGCTTGCCATTGAGAGTACTATCTGGCAAGCTTCCTGTTGCTTATTCAGCTAGGACCACCCTATCCATTAGGATTTTGGATTACAGGATTAACAGGAACTGAAAAATCCTGCTTCAAGTAACTGGTCTGCCCCTCCAAGATCTGCCGACATGCCAGGCTGTCTGGTCAGTCATGTACATCTATATGTACGTATGTGTGTGTGTATATATATATATTATATATATTTGTAGACAAACATGGCACTTGTATGATAAATGCAATTGTCAAGGATTAGTTACTGCTGTGAATTCACACTGTTTATTATTTGCAGGGCCTAAGAGGGATCCCAGGAATTCCAGGCCAGCCAGGCTCTATTGGGATTCATGGAGCAAGGGGAAATAAAGTAAGGATTTATGTCCATGACTGTGCTAAATATGAAATTCTCATCCTGTTCCAACTTTCATTCTAGCTTCTGAATAATGCATCTGTTTAAACTTGAACAATCCCCAAAACTTTAACAGATCAAATCCACATGGATTTTATTTTGTACTAATTTTCCTTGGAAAGCTGTAATTCAAGTCAAATAATATTTTCTATTTGCCCGACGTTAAAGGCACCATGTTAATGTAATTTGTTGTTGTTAAAGACTATGTATTCTAAAATTTACTCAGTCTTTTGTGGAAAAGGATATTCCATTAATTTAAGAAGTGATTAGTGGTAAAAAGTATATTATTTTATACTGAAAATTTAATGCTTTTGAGAATATCATTCAATTCAATCCATTCTATGCAATAATATTTTACAGGGTGAACCAGGAAATCGTGGGGAGAAAGGTAGCCAGGTAATCCGTAAAACCATTCCAATTGTTTTGTTTTTAAGTAATATTATTGCCATCTGTGTTTTATAACTGGGTTACAAAGAATACTGGCTGTTAATTCCTCATGTTAGCAACCTTGGCCCTGTAAAAAAATACTAATCAAAAGTGCTTAAATACAGTACAAATCATTCAGACTCTGGCTCCCACTCCCATCCTGACTCCGACTCTGGCTCCCATCCCTACTTAACTTTGCTCAAAAGTTTGATGCCAGGAGGTTGGGAGCTTTCAAAATCCTGTTAATCAGACCACTCCATCAGCAGACGCTATTTATTTCTGGTGCCGAACCATCAATGTTGGGGTAACTGAATTCATTTCAGAAGTAGAAGACCAACAGTTGCCAAGGACTCTCACTGAGCTGCTGAATCCCAGTCCTTGTGTTACATTGGAGTGCTCTAGGACTTGTTCCAGCGTTTCTTCAGAGATGCAAGCTTGTCTTTACACAGAATGTACAGCAGAGAAACAGGCCAATTGGCCCAACCAGTCCATGCCGGTGTTTATATTCCACATGAGTTTCCACCCACTCCTTACTCATTCCCAAATCCTTCCATTCCCTTCTCCCTCATGTGAAGGTCTAGCTTCCTCTTAAATGGATCTATACTATTTGATTTAGCCACCGCTTTGGGTAGCGAATTCCACATTTTCACTACCCTCTGGGTGAAGAAGTTCTAAATTCTCTTTTAGATCCCCTACTCACTATCCCCCAGTCGATGACCTTTTGTCAGGTGAAAGGACATCGACCTGAAAAGTTAACTCACTTCCTCTCTCCATAGATGCTGCCTGACCTGCTGAGTGTTCCGAACGACTTTTGTTTTTATTTTAGTCTACGTATGTTAACATTATCAAACCTTCTCATAATTTTAAACACCTCTATTACATCCACACTATTAAAACTCCTGTTCCCTAGTGAAGAAAGTATTAACCTAGCCATACTGATAACAGTTACCTGCCAACACTGGTATCATCACAGTAAACTGACACTGCACTCTTTCCATCGCTGCTATATCTTTCTTGTAGTGTGATGACCAGAACTGGACACAGTACTCCAACTATCTAACCGTGGCTTTATATAAATTCAACATCACCTCCTCACTTTTATATTCCGTCCCTGGATGTTCGCCCACAAATATACAGTCAATTCACTTTACAGTATATTCTGTGAAGCACTTTGGGACGTCTAGAAGACGTGAAAAGTGCTATATCAAATGCAAGGATTATTATTATAAAGCCCAAGATCCTATTGATCTTTTTATAGTTGTATCTACCTGTGCAGCTACTTTTAGAGATTTGTGTATTTGTATATGGAGAGATATTTTTAAATATTGTCCTCTGCTCCTTGGAGGATCAGATCCAGAATCTTCAAATCTTTGAAACCCAAGACATTACTGAATCTTAATCCAAAATTGAGATTCCAACCTTGTGTCACTGATTAGTGAAAATGTCTTTTATAGAGCATTAATGGTGGTACTCACTGTGAGTTATTATCACAGAATGATAATTAACCATGGATTACTAGGCAATACTGTCAGTACAATAAACGCTTTAAGACATCCTCCTGAAGTAAAAAGAGCTATATAAATGTAAATGGTATTGAACATATTCTGATCAATTCATTCTCCATTATCATAGATAGCACTGTATGCTGTAAATTTACATTCAACTAGCCGTGTCCTTTGAAAGTCTTGAAGACAAGTTGAGAATTTGACAGGCTTTCTATTTCTGACGTCTTTGCTACTGTGGGCACAGATATTGTAATATCTTAATTGTTCATTATTGCAGGGTAACAGAGGTGTACAGGGAACACCAGGATCACAGGGTTCACAGGTAAAAATATTTTCGTATACAGATAAATAAATCGCTGATGGCTTAGTAATTTGTTCATTGGTAGTAACCTGTTGTATTTAAATTTCTTCAGGGAGATAATGGTGTCAAGGGAGGCAAAGGAGAGGCAAGTATTTGCAAACTTTTGTGTTTATGTTGCCGGTCTCCCTAATTCTATCCTACATAAGCTCCAGCTGATACAAACCTCCAATTAACGCATTTTCACCCACGCCAAACTCAGCACGCTTGATTTATATTGTGAACGTGTTCTTTTAAATGCATCAGTGGTTTAGCATTAATATTTCTCCTCCATTGACGAGATGTATCTCACACCTAATGTATAACATTTTTATTTTTTGCGACATAGAAAGGAAATCTAGGACAACCTGGTGAGAGGGGACCTGAAGGCAAGATAGGGTTTCCTGGTCTATTGGGCCCTGTTGGACCAAGAGGACCTCCCGGTAAAGAAGGTCGATATGGATTACCTGGTATCCCTGGAACTCCTGGCAAACCTGTAGGTGTTACTACAATTCAACTGCAATTGTATTTTGTATACACTTATACAATGCATTCCAATATTGTGTAGTAACTCATACCTGTTCAAATTAGGCAAAGCCTCTCACAGATGAACATGTAATGAAGCTCTGCACTGATATCCTTCAGAGTGAGTATTTTCCCACAATTTAACCTTCCTTGGCATACTTTTGTTGCCCCTTGTATCTGGACGCTGTTTATGAAAGACATTCGTGGAGTCCTGTAGCTCAGTGGTTAGAGCACTCGCTTTGCAAGTGAGAGACCTGAGTTCAATTCCAGGCAGAGGGTGAAACCTTGGGCAAGTTTCCTTACTCCACACGCCTAATAATAATCCCTCCAAAACCAAAAACAATAATAAATTGGTCATTTTCAATCTACGACTGTTTGTGGGACATTGCTGTGCGCAATTGGCTGCCGCGTTCGCCCACAAATATACAGTCAATTCACTTTACAGTGTGTTCTGTGAAGCGCTTTGGGATGTCCTCCCGACATGAAAAGCGCTTTATAAATGGAATCTTGTTGTTGTTGTTGTTGTTGTATATCAAATGCAAGGATTATTATTATTATTATTATTCGTGGAGCGTCTAGGAATGATTACTATTAAGACAATAGTCTAATTGGAAGGTTCAGATGACATGAACGCATAGGTTAATAATCTAAAGTGTTTTGAAACCATTCCTTGATATTGGTTATTTTTTCAAAGTTTTTTGATGCAGTTTCTAGTTACACTGAAGGATTTAATGCTTTTCATGTTTTCACTGTTACGTAAGAATAAATAATCTGCAAGTGATTTCTAGGGAAATGTATAATGCAAATGATTACAGACTGAGGACACTTATCGCTCAATTCTTAAAGTGTGGCCTTTGGCACAATTGCTATTTTATGTGCCTTTGGACCTTCATTCACAGCCTGGCTGATTGTCTCATGTTGACTGAGCTGGATTTTGGCCCGGTTCCTATTCCTTTTGTGCATCAATTCAAAATAAACCAAGGACATTCTATTGGAAGGTAGCACTATCCTAGCTCCATGCAACATGTAAAAAACAGACTTAATAAAATTAAACCATTCAATAAAACCATTTGCCCATTCAGTTTTCCCTCCCTTCCTGAGGGGAACTGCCCCCCAGTCTGCATGTGTCAACTTCTGCCAGTGCCATGATTGAAGTCAGGAGCTCACGGTTTGGGCAGCTGCATTGCAGATTTACATCCCATTACTCTGGGCAACATATAGCCATCCTTGAGACAGACAAGACATTGGTTAAGATTGTGTCCATAGCTGCAAGGTTAGTGAGTGCAGTTGTTAAAGTCTGTACCTGATGTAAACTTTTGCTTCATGTACAGGGGAAGTGTACCACGAGTGACAACACACAGGCTCAGGCCTATAGTTATGCACTTAATCGGTTAGGTTTGTAGTTGCTCACAACAAATGTGGAGTCCAATAGCGTAGTGGTTAGCTCACTCGCCTTGCAAGCGAGAGGATCTGGGTTCGATTCCTGGGCAGGCAAAACCTTAGGCAAGTTTCCTTACTCTACATGCCTCTGTTTACCCAGCAGTAAGTAGGAACTCAGTTGTTAGTCAATTAACAGATCACTTTCCGTGAGTAACAATCCTTAAAAAATACGTGGACACTCAATCCATGATTGTTTGTGGGATACTGCTGTGCACAATTGGCTGCCGTGTTTTATCCGGCATACTCATCCAAAAAATACACAGTCAATTCACTTTACAATACATTCTATTAAGCACCTTGAGATGTTGCAATGACGTGATAAGGCGCTAATGCAAGGATTATTATTTATTATTTCTCAAAAATGCTCAACATGTACTTGTGCTGAATAGCAACATGTGGGGAAAAAAGCCTTAAAAAGTTGCTTTTTTTCTTTCCCTCATCCATATAGCTCAGTTGCCTTCACTTCTTCAAAGTATGAAACCAAGTTGTCAGCCTTGTGAAGTTGGCAAAGATACACCTGGCTCACCAGGCCTGCCGGGGGGGCCTGGAGAGAGAGGATTCCCTGGATATCCTGGCACAGCGGGAAGGCGAGGGTACCGAGGCCAACCTGGCATCCCTGGACTGCCAGGAATACAAGGTAATTAAAACCGCTATTAGTTATGGAAACATCTCCTGAGAGAGTGATTTCGCCCATAAATATACAGTCAATATACGGTCAATATTCTGTGAAGCTCTTTGAAACGTCTAGAAGATGCGAAAAGCGCTATATCAAATGCAAGGATTATTATTATTATAATGTTAGCTCTGTAACTAAAAGTCAACAACTGAGACGAGCCAGAAGGGCTGGCTATTGTCTTTTTTTAATCCTGTACATTGCTATGTTCCTAAGTGAGACTGAGAAAAAAGTACAGTAATGCTGCACTCAAAGATACAAAACTTACTTAGGAGTTACTGTACAGCTTTGCTATTGTGGGAGCTTTCAACAACAACAACAACAACAAGATTCCATTTATTGAGCGCCTTTCACGTCGGGAGGACGTCCCAAGGCGCTGTACAGTTGGGTCAGGACCCGAGCAAGGGGGAAATGGTCAGGGTGAGGGGAGGGAAGGGAGGGAGCGAGGAGGGGGTAGAAAGTCGAGAGGGGAGCTGAAGGCACGGTCAAAGAGAAAGGTCTTGAGACCGGCCTTGAAGGAGGAAAGGGAGGAAGCAAGGCGAAGGCACTGGGGGATAGAGTTCCAGAGCCTAGGGGCTGAGAGGCTGAAGGCCCGGCCACCGATGGTAGGGCGGTTGGGGCGGGGGTTGTGGAGCAGACCGGAGCCAGAGGAACGGAGGGTACAGGCAGGTAAGTAGGGGGATAGTAGGTCGGAGAGGTAGGAGGGAGCAAGGCCGTGAATGGCCTTGTAGGTGAGGGTGAGGATCTTGAATTTGAGGCATTTCAAGGCATTGAGCTGGTAGTCTTCATTTTAGCAAGTGCCAAAAATAGTGTTATGATTTTAGTTTATTGACAAATGGTGGTTTGCTCTTTATTAAACAGTATATATATAAATATGTATATATATATACACACTGATGTATACCCATTATCACATTGTGAAAACACCACCACAAAAACATTATGTATCTAATTTTTTCCATTTCCCCTCCCTAAATATTGAGATGATTGCTCCTTCAAGCCAGCTAAATAATTAAATGTGATTATTTGCAGTGGCCCAATTGCTACCTTAATGTCAATGCATCATACACCATCTTTATTAATGGTTCTAGGTGACCAGGGATTGAAGGGAGACAAAGGCACAAAAGGTGAAGGCTATCCAGGGTTACCTGGGCAACCTGGCCAAACAGGTAAGGTGTAAATACCACAGACCAAACCCCAACACGGAACAAGAAATGTGTAAAAAAAAAAGTGTGATAGTGCCCCGGTATATTGCACCAAAGGGCCAGTGTTAGCTTGTGGACTTACATTTTTAACTTTTTCATGAAGTCCCCTGAAGTTGTCATGAAGTTAGGTTGAGGTGACGAGAGGAGGAAAAATTGGATGGTAACTGATGGTAACTCAGGAAGCTGAGTCACTCTTGGATACCTCTTGCCTGTAAGTTATTGGGTGATATTAACTCAGTCAGAACAGTTCCATCTTCTCATCCTCTTGGTCGGGAAATGGTGAGTGGCATCGGGAGAGCATAGAACATTTGTGAAAGTAAACTCAGTTAAAAAGAGGTAGTGCATAAAATACAATAGAATGATTATTGAGTTTACTAGTCATCCAAACAATCCTCTTGTAACAAAAGGAGAATTTGCTGGGAACACTCAGCAGGTCAGCAGCATCTATGGAGAAAGGAAAGTGAGTCAAAGTTTCGGGTCCACAACCCTTCGTCAGAGCTGGGGCGTGTTGGGAGGGAGAGGCTTTTAAGGGCTAACAGAGAGGGGGAGGCAGGGCAAGGAAGACAAAGGAGAAAATGGGGTGGAGGACATTTGTAATGTTGTGGTTGCTGTTTTACCCAAGTTATTACAACTGCAATCAATCTACTGTTTCTGCTGTATTAAGATTTTCTATATTGGAGAGACAATATAAATGACCATCTTTCTATATATCACAGCCACCAATTGTTACATTGGAAATAGCTTTCTGTAACTGTTTAGGTTAAGTTCATATGTGCTCTCAGCTCTCATCAACAAATCTCCTATGATGTAGAACTATGAGTCAGTGGACCATTCATGAACATCCAGCTCTACTCACCTGAGGAAATATAGATGAAGTGTTTAGACAACATGAAGTCCTGTGGCTCAGTGGTTAGAGCATTCGCCTTGCAAACGAGAGACCTGGGTTTGATTCCCGGCAGGACGAAACCTTGGGCAAGTTTCCTTACTCCACACGCCTGATAATAATCCTCAAGAAAAAAACAAACAATAAAAAAAATTTAGTTACTCAATCCACGATTGTTGTGGGTCACTGGTGTGCGCAATTGGCTGCCAAGTTTCGCCCACAAATATACAATCAATTCACTTTACAGTATATTCTGGGAAGCTCTTTGAGATGTCTTGAAGACGTGAAAAGCGCTATATCAAATGCAAAGATTATTATTATATTATAGCATCAAAAACTGCAGGTTCATGTTTTGATTGCCTGATGTCTAAAATTACATTACAGTGTCTAAATCTTTCCTTTTATATGTTATAATTTGTAAATTTCACATTACTGGGCGTGAGGTATTTTTGGTGAGTTTTTGTGCTGGCAGCATGAAATGACACCAATGCCCATCTTTACCATCTTTATGGCTTTGATGTTATTTCACACTGAACGATATTGACATTTCTGGAGGTTTACAGAAAGTATAATCTGAAATGATCGATTGCACCCAAAATACCGACAATAATAACTTAATATTTGCCTGTAATTCTAGGTCTCCCAGGACTTCCAGGTCCCAGTGGACAAGGATTGCAAGGAGTGCCTGGGGACCCAGGAAGAAATGGAATGCCTGGCAGTCCGGGAAAACGTGGCCCCTCGGGAGCACCCGGAGTCTGTGATATGTCCAGCTGTTATAATTTCTACAATAGTGGCCGAAATCCTTTTAGCAAAGGACCAAATTTCTGAGCTCTTTGCGAAGTTCAGTATCTGAGAACTGAATCTGCCCATCATTTCATGCCTCTTTTACTCACTACCAAAGAAGAGGAACTCTTTTCTCAGGAATGTTTTATATGTGTGATCCATTAGCTTTTTATCAAAGGTTTCTGTCTGTTAACGTGAGTTGCTGTGGCTGTTGGATTGTTGCTAATAAGAGAGATTTGTAAGCACATTTTGCGATGCATCATGTATATTTATCCTGTTTCTAAATTTTTTTAATGTATATATATTGATAACAGCTTGATAATGGTGCATGTGAAACACTTTGTAGCAAAGGCTTTTTGTGTTAGATACCCTTTCACAGTTTATCATGTTGAAGTTTTACAGTGTCTGACATGTACTGTGTTCCCCTGAGTTCATTAGTTATTTCTTCACTCCGTCTCGTGCTGACTGATCGTATGAAATTATAATTTTGTAATCTGTTCTCGATGGCCTAGCTGCCATGTCAAACACAAGGATTATTATTTAAACTGTGCTGCAACTAAGTCAGAACATCCATTAACTAACAAAGAAAAGATGATCCAAAGCTCCCTTAATAATTCATGGTGTATAAGTGCACCATGTGGTGTGTTACTGAATCACATAGGTTTGGTTTTAGGTCTGTGTTAACTTAGTTGATCTCACCCAAGCTAAACTGTGAAGATGTTACAATCAGCCTCAGTTCTCTCCAGATGAGGAAACATCAGCCAGATTGCTGTCCAGTGACCCTGCTATAAAGTACTTATGTGTAGAGATCTGCAGGTGAGACAAGATTGGATACAGTTATGTTCCATTCTCCCCCCAACCTTCCTCCAACCACCAGACCCCACGCCCCCTGCAGCTAAATAACATGCCAACCGCCTACATTTACATCTCTGGTGAGATCAACCAAACGCCTCTGTTTACCTAGCAGTAAGTAGGAACCCAGTTGTTAGTCGAATGACGTATCGCTTTTCCGGGGTAATAGTTCCTTCAAAAAAATAATAAATTGGTCACTTCAATCCTCTACTGTTTGTGGGACATTGCTGTGCGCAATTGGCTGCCACGTTTTCCCCACAAATATACAGTCAATTCACTTTATAGTATATTGTGTGAAGTGCTTTGAGATGTCTCAATGATGTGATAAGGCTCTATATCAAATACAAGGATTATTATTATTTAGACGTGACTAACTACCAATTTAGTAGAAGGCTGGGGTTCTGCTGGAGCCACACATTAGTTTGAGACATCACCTTTCGGAAAGGAATCTGGATACACTCTGCATAGCTAATTAATGGCTAATTGCTTTCTATTGGGGCTGATTGCTAGAACGAGGGACTTTATTTTCACTTTATGTTAAAAATGGAATTTCCCATTATAAACATGTTGCAAAAAGATGTCTGTGTTACTCAGCAGCACGATTTAATTTTTTCTCACTGGTTCTTTAATATCCGCACGAACAGGCAGATGGGATCTCAATTTAACATTTCATCTGAAACACAGGACGTGTGACAATGCAGTGTCCCCAGCACCCAGCTCTGTTTTGGAGTGTCAGCCTTAGTCTATGTTAGTTCAAAATCCTGACCCCGAACCCTCTGACTCAGAGGTGAGAGTACTACTAACTGAGCCAGGCTGACACCTGTTGTGGAAAGTTTAAAATGGAAAACTTTATCTAATATCAAACATTATCAGAGCCTTCAAAATATTCAATTGTTTAAGAGACCAAATAACTAGGGTATATTTATTTCAATGCATGAAGTGTTTTGTCCATAGTAAAGATAGTATACTATTGAAATTCATGTCTTCTCTTTATTGTGTTCTTTGTCACAAATGAACACATTGCTGTGTGAAGATAATGCTGAATTAGAGCAATGGAAAAGTGAACACTTTATTTCAATAAGCATTTTTAAACAGTGGGCTTGACTCATTGCCAATATTATCAATTAATATTGACCTGCAAAGTGGAAATTGTTTTACGTAAAAAATTTCAGAGAATCAAACGTGAGGACAGTCTTATCTTGTTTGTATTGTGCTAAACGTATTATCAAATTTTCATAGAAGAGAATCTCTGCTTGCAGTGAAATCAGAAATATAGGTGATGAAAAGGCAATTTATATCTGCAAAACATGGTACCTCACATTAACTGGAACCTTTATAGTTGATTTAAAAATGTGATATTCCTATGGTTTGTTAAATAATAGACCTCCATTATATATTCACACCACATGTAGATAGTCAATGGATTTTTAGAACACAGAAAAATACAATGTTTTCACTGTGCCAATTGCTACAAATGATCTTTGGTGAATCATCTCTGTAGCATTATGATTGTACAGTATTTTAGATAGAACATATGTCAAATTTTGAAGTCAGCTTGTAAGCTATTAACTATAATTGGCCTTTTAATAGGCTTCAACTTGAAGGCTCATCAGTAATTGTTTAACAATTTAAGCAGCATGAATTAAATTACATTTTAATTGGCAGCAGAACGGGATGTTTGTAAGAAACAATTTAATTTTTACAACTAAGCAAGCATAATTCTAAGCTAACTAAGTTCACTAAGCTGTGTCATTGACAATACATTTATGTTTCTACTCTGAAGATTGGAATACTGTTCCAAAAATTGATGCTCAAGGACTCTCAATTCAATGAATTAAACAAGTGTGTTCTTAGATCTTAAGCACAATCTACCAACCAGTGTGGTAAATCATTTATGTGTTGCATTTAATTTGTGTTCAGCAGTGTTTTCATAGTGAATGAATGTGTTAACACCTAGTATTGTGTCACCTTAAAAAACTTTAAAATATTTATTCGTAAGCCTTTTTTATTTATTTGCTCATTTACATTAAGAATATATTAATACTTACATTTGATACAGCACATTTCAAGTTGGGATGATGTTTCAAAGGGCTTCATGGGATATAAAGTAAGGTGACTGCAAGTTTTGTAGATGAATTAGCCACAATTCCCAGATTAGGCTTCAATACGGTTAATGGTGGATTATATTCATTTGATTTATTGTATTTACTGTCATGTATAAAACATACAGATTAATTACAACTATCTATATAGACCCCAGTTGATTGTAACTGGTCTAGTATAAGTTATTTTCTGGTTATTCAGGAGAGTTTTATTAATGATAGATACTGGAGAGTTTTATTAATGATAGCAGTAACTCCTGCGTCCATATATATGCTAAGATCACAACTATTAAACTACTGGCCATGATCAAGTAAACTTCAGTACAGAATTCTGCAAAAAACACCTCACAAACAGTACTGCAATACGGGCCATTGCTGCCATGAACTGAAATAAGGCACTTTACTTTCACCTTTGATTGGAAGAGAAGGAAGAGAAGTACAATATATAGGAACTGAATGACGGAATACAGGACGGAAGGAGAAAGGGAGTGCAAGGGCAACATATGGAGGGAAAGAGGAAAGAAAAAACGTATGCAAACCAACAGTCTCACAATACAGCAGCAATAAAAGCAGATATCTAGGCAGGGAAGCAAGCGGTGGGAAGGTTTCTGTGGGAACTCTTCAAGTCAATGAAACCCTGAGTTTTCCTTCGGAGGAGACATTAAACCAGTGGTGGCCAATCAGCGACAAGGTGGCACAACACGCCCTTGATAGTGGCACATGTGGGAGAACAGTGAGGGAGAGGCTGGATGTCTAAGTGGATGTGATGAAGGTTTGGTTGGGTCAAGCATTTCTTGGTGCAATAGGCGGAGCAAACTCTCATGTCGGCTCAATGGGTCAATAGGTCTCACCTTGACTGTACATGAATAACACAATATCTCACCGTATGAAACTGCTTGGGGATGTTATAAATTTCCTCTTAACGTTGCACTTATGGATTCAGGACAAGCACACAAAATAGGCTGATAGTTTAAAGCAGGCTGGTCCAACCTTTTGACTGCCGAGGGCTGGATGTCTTTTTGAGAAACGTCCGTGGGCCGCATAAGAAATATTTTTGTGTTTCCTTTCCAGAAACATAACACTTACACTCGCAACTCCGATCCAACATTGGTGAGCCGTGCTTTCAGCCACTACACTTTGAGACTCTGGAATACTTCCTCTATCTCTCCGCCTTTCCCCTTCCTTTCCCTTCTTCAGATCGTGCCTGAAGACTTTCACCTTTCCACCGTGCCTATGTCATATCCCCCTCCCCCGGCTCAGCGTCGTGCTCCTTCACCGACAAGCACTCTGGGACACCACCCTGTACGAGAAGTAAAGCAAGTTGTTATTGTTATTGACCCTCTGAGCCTACATGAGTGCTCACTCCACCCCCTCTTCCCACTGCAATGCATTGTCAACCTAGACTGTGAGGCTAACCTAGGCCTTGATCCTTTTTAGACTCCTAGGCGAAAGTGTTACCAACAGTGCCTGGCTCACATTTCATCTATTTGTCGAGAAAGGGGTAGAGGGTTATAGAGACAGAAACAGCTCCAATCGAGCTTTAGGAAGAGAGCATATGTAGAAGGAATGTCTTGGGATCAATATGGGTCAAAGTTGTGCAGTGTAAATGTTATGTTTCTGGAAAGGAAACACAAAAATATTGCTGCTGCGGCCCGCGGCATTTCTCAAATAAGGCATCTGGCCCTCAACAGCCAAAAGGTTGGACCAGCCTGGTTTAAACTATTAGGCCATTGTGTGTGTATGTGATGACACTAGTCAGCATGTCAGTGAGCCTTGAGTAAGAGTTGGGTGGTTGCCAATTTGTTGTATGGACATACATATGGGAACAATAGCCTTGAATGGAATAAATAGACTTTTCATGTCCTCTTAAGCTCTTACGAATTGATGTGCTGCTCATCCCCAATGTCCTGGCTTTGTTGTAACATGTTCTCTGTTCTTTTGTTTCAGGATGGACGCACCGATCTGCACTTGGCTGCCGCCCACTAAAAGGATGAAATTGTTCGGCTGCTTTTGGCAAAGAAAGCGGAGCCCAACCTGACCGGCGGGGTAAGTCCACAGTCACTCTACTGCATGTGTGATGTGTATTGTGTGTTGGCATTTGCTTCTTCAGTGCAAT